TTTTTTTTGCACGGGTCGAGGCGCTATGTGTGCAGAGGATGCACAAGTCACCTTAAGATAGTAAAAGGGAGAGATGAAGCAACAAAACCGGAACCAGAACAGACAACACCAAAACAACAAACCCAACAGTTGGCGGATGGCATGATGAAGGTGAGCGCCAAGGACAAGATCTCCAAGTTCCTGTCAAATGGCCAGAGATGGAACCTGGTCTCGACAGCACCTTCACTGCTGCGAGCGCCTCCGTGCAGCTGGGCCGCCAAAAGGCGAGGTAGAGGATTTGAAGGATCCCTCATTCTGTGAGTTTTTCAGACATGTCAGCTTCGCATTCCATGTGCAACCGCCACACCGCAATCCTGTGATCCCAAGGGACCCCTTTGGCCAATAGCGGCTTTTGTTTACTGGACGAACACAGGCATAGAGACTGGCCGACCGGCGCAAGGTGACACGCACGAGAAGTGTACCAAGACCTCACTTGAAAGGGCGAACCCTTTTGCTACCTGACAATTTGTTTCCTTCGGAGGGCCTTTGGGCAGATCTGTATCCTGTCGACCGTTGAAGCTCAAAAGCAAGCGTTGTTTGAAAATAAAAGAGGATGATTTAAAAGGACAAACTTGGAGTTCCACGCACACACACACACACACTCACTCATATTTTTGCATGGGATCAGACATTTGATGTTGTTTTTAAAACTTGTGTGGCAACTGGTTTGAACTCCTGGATGTGTCGACAGCAATGCTGACAGCATTGATGCTCATCGTTCCCATCACAGCCATCCGGTCATCCGACGAGGCGTGTCGGGAAAGCTGAGAGGCTGTGAGAGGCCGTGAGAGGCCGTGAGAGGCCGTGATTCTGACAGGTGAATGATTTAATCAATTTTTACACGACGGTAACGTCACAACTGCCTCCACATGACAAATTTTCACTTTTATTGCAGTTGCGAACCCTGTTGCAAAGCTTGTGAGGAGCTGTCTTACGGTTCCTGTGAGCACTTGACCTTTTCAGCTTATGGAACCGCTGAGTGGACGGGATGGTTGAAAGGTGCGAGGGGTGGGAAAGCAACGGAGCCTTGGAGAGTGAAAATTATGGAGATGAACGTTCAGGGGTGCATTTTCAACATGTAAAAACGGCAAGTTTCCTAACAAATTAGGAACCAAAGTGATTCATGCGACGGCGGGGGGCAGCTTCCTTGAAGAAGCGTGAACTATCCTGCGTCCAGTTGCTACGAGCGTCCAGATCTAATAGTTACGTAGTGTTTCCTCTTTAGCGGCCCCCTGACCTTAGAAACATGATTTATTTTTTTTGCAATTTGAGTCGAGCAAATGAGTTAGAGACCGTCCTGGGGCGGAAGGTCATTGTGATTTGGAGAAGTGTTACAATCACAGGGTCATAGGTTTTTGTGCTTTGGAAGAAAACAAGGTTCTAAAAATTCTGTGCAGCTCTGATTTTGGTGTTGGCAGGTTGAGCCGCAGAAGACCCTGACAACAACTTGGGACAGGTTCCAAGATTCACCGCAACCTGCGTGAGGAAATGACGTGGGAATCGTGCGAGAACTTGCCCAAGAGGACGTCCTGTGAATTCGCGTACACCTATGATGGCAAGCACTTCGTCCCATGTTTCTCTGTGCCAAAGCATCTATTTTGTGTAAATCACTCTTCAACTTGTTACCAGTAGTGTCCTTGCTCGTAGTAGCGAGGCCAGGAGCCCCTAGCAGCGTCCTTGCTCCTAGTTCGGCAGAAGCTCGAGGGACTTTTTTGTCAAACTCTTAGCGATGCCTTCGCTCCTAGTAGCGTCCTTGCCCCTACACAAAATACTGTTTCACTGTTTTGCACGTTTGGGGCTTCACTTTGGTTCTGGAAGCTCCGCAACTCTCAGCGCTCTTTGTTGCAAAGAAGCCCCCTCTGGTGCCCTTTCGGTGTCTTCGTGTTCCATTTGGATGATTTTCTGTTGTAGTTGTGATGCTCCTGCCTGGGGAGGACAAAGATTCATAAGGTTTGCACAGTAAAGCGTATAGGAAAATAACGAGGGCTTTCAAGAACAGCCACATGGCTGTGGGCCAACACCAACACATCGCGGCTAAGCACAGGCCCAGTTTTTGTGTCTTTCCTATTTTGGAACTTTCTTGATGCAAAAGACCGCCTTTGTACTCCACACTGCCTTAAAGAAGCGGGCATCAAAAGATGGAATCTCAAATGACTTAAAGTTTGGGGCCTATGGGCCTATGGGTTCATTTAAAGATGCTATTAGGTAGGAGGCCATCGCTATTACTGTTCTTGCTCCTAGTAGCGTCCTTGAGTGCATTTGGATGGCCCAAACTGTGCTCTTCACCTTCACAGGTCCACGTCTCTCACCGGAACTTTAGACCTTTCTTGCTTTTTTTAAATGTTGTTACTAGTAGTAAGAATGCTCCTAGTAGCGATGCCAGGAGCCCCTAGTAGCGTCCTTGTTTCTTGTTCTTTAGACTTGTGCTCAGTCAGGCTTCTGGTGGAATGACCTGCTGAAAAGTGAAAACTCCCTAGAGCCTGCGCCCGACCTTGCGCGCTGCGTGGCCTCAAAGCCGCCACTTCCGGCCATCGAGTGGGAGCTCTGCAGCTTTCGTTCAGAACGTGCCAAGGACGGAAGTGAGCAGGTATGGAAAATCAGAAGCAGCAGCAGCAGCAGCAGCAGCAGCAGAAGAAGAAGAAGAAGAAGAAGTCGAAGTCACCAATTGGAAGGCAAAGGATGTCACCAACGAGCCTTATTCTTTAGATAGAACATGCAGCATGTCACCATGTCCAAGAAGTCTTGTGGAGTAGAGTCCTTCGCTTAATTTGGCTCGTTACATTTTCTACTAGTTCTTTCAGAGAATACCCTGTCAAGGAGAAACACGAGGTGAATGTGCGTGCCGGCTTGGAAGAGAAGTGTGTGAGCTCCCTTTGCACCTACGCCACTACTGGAAAATGGCGAGGCTTCACAAAGGCTGCCCAGGCGGAAGGCAACCCGAGTTTGCTCAAGATATTTTTTCATTTGTTTTGATTGGACAATATGACACATTCTCTCGGAGGTATGCAGCCAGTATATATATGAAATTATTGATGGCCTGAAAAAACAACCGATTCACTTCTTAGGTCCACAAGGTTCCGAACAAATCCAAATGATATGGATCGAAGGTAGGTTGGAGGCCATCGCTCTTAGGGAGGCCGTCCTTGGAAGTTAGGGGTGGAAACTGCCTGAAAGGGTGAACGCGACAGGACATAACATAGTAGAAACAAGTGCCACGCTAGTAGTAACAAGTGCCTTACTAGTAGTAACAAGAAGCTATTAGAAACAGAAGCAAGAAGAAGAAGAAGAAGAAGAAGAAGAAGAAGAACAGAAGCAGCACAAGACAATGGCAAAGGAGAAGCGATGGCCTCCAACCCAGTAGCTAACTTCCAAGGACGGCTGTCACGGCTACTTCCTGTGTTCATTTCCACGTGGCTTTCTGCCGAACCTTTCTTTTCGCGAATACTGAATCGGTCGATCCTCGGTTTGTGAGACTTGCCGCTGTGGCGAGATGCAAAACTGGATTCTAGAATGGCACTGGGAGTGCCAGACTAGGAGCTGGTTTGAGCTACCAAACTTGAACGACATGGAGCCTCAACGTGAGCTACAAAGAGGCTCGCCTACATGCCAGTTGAAAGCCGATCGAGGCTAAAGGTTGCATCAAACCATTGCAGTGTTTGCCCGGTCAGTTCGAAAAGCGGGCAGCGTCCAAAGCGCAACTTATCCGACCTGGAGGGCACGCCTTCCTCCAACCTAGCATAAGGAACCTACTAGCGATGGCCTCCAACCTGCAAGGAAGACTCACCTGAGCCGGCCTTCTTGCGAACACACAAGCCGAACTAGATCAAGACAAAAGGAGTTTCCCCAGAGGGATCCGAACATCATGGATACACGAAGAGCAAAAATGAAATTGTTCCAAGCAGCGACGAAGCGACGAATTCGATCCCTGCCTCCGGTCCGTGTCCCCAAGGCAAGATGAAACCATGGAAGAAGACCCACGACTCGATGATGTCCTGGGGATGGCAGAAGGCCATGGAAGCTTTGCCCGACCTTTTGAACTGAAGTGCGAATACAGTAGAAAGGATGCTCCTAGTAGCGATGCCAGGAGCCCCTAGTAGCGTCCTTGCTTCTAGTAGAAATAGTTTCCTGCCTTGGATGGAGTCACTGAACGTTTATTATAGTGAAGGATGTAGGTTACCAGCTGAGATAGATCCATGGGTCGAGGTCGGTCCCACAGTCCTGTGCTGATCACTTCAAAAATAGGTTGAGGGAAGTTTGACTTACACCTGTAGTACAAGCGTTTTGTTGTCTTCGAAATGATGCCAGCCCCAGCCGTTCGTAGTAGTGGAAGGGGACGAATCGGGGAGCAAGGGAAAAGAGAAACAGGAAGGTCTAACTAGTACCCAGCAAAACCACAAATTGTTGAAGCGCTATGACCCCCTTTGGACCTGGCCCGAAGCCAAACTGCTAAGGAAAAGGAATGCATGTTCGAGATGGGTGGCATCCGATTATCCAAAGAGGAGGTCCTTCAGAAGATCCTCACACCGAAGCTTGAGTCCAATTGAGTCCATTGTGTGGAAAGCGAGGCGATTCACCCCTGTCAGCGTCGAAACCCAGCAGATCTTCCCAGAAAGACTGAGGATCAACTTTGGGCACAAGCGCCAGACATAGTCCTTTGACGGGTTCATGGTCCTTTGAGGATCTTTGAGGCATAGGCATATCCTTCTGATGGGAACAATTCACTGCATTTCAATGGGCATTCTTCAGACCCAAACGAATCCTCAACTGTCCAAGTGTTCCGCTTCACTGCAATGCACTTTCCATCTTCCGAGGAAGGATACCTTCAACAAGAAGGTCTGCAACTGCGCTTCGGAAGATAGCTGCCCCTAGTTATCCGAAAGAATTCCCAAGGGCAGAAGGAAAAAGGACGGCCAGGATGGCACTCTGAAGAGCCTTTTGTTTTCTTTGGACCTCTTTCTTTTCTTAAAATCTTGTCATCTCAGACCTTTTATTCTCTTCTGACCTTTTCTTTATCAAATTGAACTTTGTCCAAGCTGGTGATTTGGATGAGCAAGATCGACTCCTGGTTTATCAATCCAAGAATCTGAACATAGATGCATCTCTGTTGATAGATTGAAAGCACTCGGGTGACTTCAGATCGCAGGGAAACCCGGCAGGACATGTCGATTCGGAGAGGCACATCGTACCACCAATCGCTGTTTCGTTTACGAACCGAGGGACAGAAAAGCACCTTGATGGGTCAAGAAAGCGAACCAGCCAAAGTCTGAAGAACATAGCGAACAGAAAAAGAAAAGACAAAGAAAGAAAGAAAGGCCGTCGGCCCCTTGCCGTTGGCTCAACAGTTCGCTGAGCCATGGCGGCACGTGACGGGCGTGCGAGGTACAGGGCAGTGCAGGGCAGTGCAGGGCAATAAGTTCGGTACAATCACTGTGAGACTGTGAAACACAAGATGTGACTTCTTATAATTAGTAGCTACTAGTAACAAGGGCATCGCTACTAGTAACAAGGACATTACGCCAGTAGCTAAGTCGGAAAGGTAAGGTGTACTTATTGAGTTGTCCCTGAGGCGAGTTTTTGATGTTTATTAAGCATTCGTGTGAGGAACAGTAAAGACCATCTATGGAATGCCATGGCATGATTGCCGGTATTGACTGCTTCATGAGCTGTGACAACTGGACTGACTATGGTACTGACAGCAACGCACATAGGTCACATACATGAAGTCAAGGCCCTGAGCCACCAAATTGGTCACGAAGTTGAACTACCCGGGGCCAAGTATCTACATTTGATTAGAAGACCGTAGAACGCTCCTATTCCGAATTGCCAATCATGTGATTGTTCTTTGCCATTTTTTTTTTGGTTACTTGAGAACAAACTTGAGAACTCTTTTAGTTCTCCTTGACTCATTCTTTGCCATGTTTTGTTTGTAGCACCTGGTTCACAGCCTTTGCAATAGGTGAGATGGCCTCTGGGGACCCTTCGGGGACCCTGCCCAGCCGTGTCCGGCAGCCCAAAGGTTTTGACACATGGACCATCTAAAGGACTCAAAGACCATCAAAACTAAAACATGCTTGGAGGTTGGTGCAAGCAGCTGTTTGGCATAAGCAAGCCCAGCAAACCAACCAGGAGCTTCTACACTTTCCTCCTTGTGCCAAGCACCCTTAATCAGAGCTTTTGCAATTCAGTGCAACCATCACGAGTGGATATGGACAGAGACATTGTATATGTAACTTGCAATCCTCATTCTGCATTGAAATCAATCGTTTTCATGGAGCTTTTTACATTTTTCACCACAAAAAACATTGCAGCTATTCCTTGTCTAAGGTGGTGAAAAGGGTGAAGCCATTATCAAATAGACATAATAATAAATAAAGAAAAGTCACAATATGACACAAGATCGCTTCAACTCACTAACTTTTACATATCTAGGACGACAGTGCGTTTCAAGTCCAGAGATCTATTTTTGTGCTTTCCTTTCAAACCTTTTAGAATTCTACTACTAGGAGCAAGGACGCTACTAGGGGCTCCTGGCATCGCTACTAGGAGCAAGAACCGCGACCCTCCCGACGGGTCCCAAGGCCGACCTTGCGGGGGCGGAGGAGGTGCGGTCCAGATGGTCGATCGATGTAAGTTTGCGTTTTGCGGCAACAGATGTTTGTAAGATGGTGTTTTGAAAGATTTAAGTAGTGGTGGAGAAGAAAGGGTGGTTCTCTTTGCTCAAAAGATTCCATAGAAAGGGGCAAAGAGCTCAAAATCCGAATGGAGCTTTTCACGCCCCTAATTAGTTTCGTCAGAAGGGCGTGGACATTTTGGACAACCCTTGAGCTCAGTAGACGTTTTCTTACCAAAGACGAGATATGATAAAGACCAAAACATGTCATTTGTGTTTCTTTGATGTGTCCTCTTAAGTTTCCCAAGAAATCTAGGAACCAAATCATTAGTGCGTGGGCTTCTTCAAGGAAGCTGCCCCCCGGCCTCAGGTGGGGAGAGCTTCCTTGAAGAAGCGTGAGCTATCCTAGGTAGTAGCGAACAAGTTTCTGCTTTAATTAAGTAGGCACCTACTTAAGGAGGCGGGGCCAACCGGGCTAGAAAGATCACGATTCTGTCCTGTCCTGACTTTAAGGCGCTGTCTGCTGGCATTGATGCGGTGATGTCTGCAATGTCTGGGGAGGCACGCTTCACGAACGAGAATGAGGTGCCTTGTTACAAGCGTGGCTTGTGAGCCACAAGAAGAAACAATGTGCAGATTGACATTGCCACTCATAGTTTGTTTTCTTGACTCGCAAATCTGGGAAAAGATCTTTTTGGTGTTAAGCATTTCTGGAGGCCAAGAAGAGTGGTTATTTCTTTGCTTTTTGCTTTTTTGATGTCAAATCCTTGTGTCGGACTCCGGACGATGAAAGAGAGCGTATGTTGAATATCTCTAAGATCCGGCAAAGAAATGAACCGCGCGAAGCACCATTACCAGCCACAAGTCCCAAATCTTGGCGCTGTAAAGAAGAGAAGCATGGCAGTTTGGCTATCTGCCCCCAAACTCTGCCGAACACTAAATTGAACGGGCTATTCGCTGACTCAAGTGGATTGATAATTTGTCTTGAACATGCTAAAAGAGAGAACAGAGAACAACATAGACAAGTGAAATAATGAATGAGGATCAAAGCATGAATGCGCTTGAGCAGTCCATGTAAAAAAGGGCCGCGGCTTTAGACCTTTCTATTTTTGTTCCTTCCATTTTTCTTTGTTCTTTTTCTTTCTTTCTTGTCCGACCTTTAGTTCTTTTCGATTATATTTTTCAGACATCGATACCATGGTCCCGGCCCTGCCCCACCCTGAGGTTGCTTTTGCCCTACTTCGCAAGGGCTGTCGCCACTCCGCATGTGGAGAGCGGGCTTCGGCGCTCAGGTGACGGGGAGCACAGTCAACGACGAAGAATTTCCGCTCACTTGCCGCTAGTAGCGATGCCCTTTGCTACTAATAGCGATGCCAGGAGCCCCTAGTAGTGTCCTTGCTACTAATAGCAAGAATCGCATTTCTGAAGTATATTGTTTCTGCTTTGGATTTGGAGTCCTGTGCCGGACTCTTTCTCACCAAGTCGAGGGAAATAGCAAGATCCCTCAGCATCTCACCAAATCTGTTGAGTTTCCCTAAGTCTGGGAACCAAATCATTAGAAGCGCGAGCTATCCTGCATCCAGTTACTAGCATCCAAGTAGCTAGGAGCGAACTTCTCCCCTCAATTAAGTAGGCGACGTTTCTGATGGGGGTCCTGTGAAGAGAAGTCAATTCTCTTGTTCGTTCAGGTTGTTACTAGTAGCAAACATTGCTCCTAGTAAGGCCAGGAGCCCCAAACGTAGCGTCCTTGCTCCGTTCGTAGCGATGCCCTTTGCATCTCAGCAGGTCGAACCTTTTGGTCTTCCCATAGCGTTCGCGTTCGCAGGGAGGTGATCCCAGAGCAACAGCAGCTCATCGTCTCCTTCTTGGTGCGAGTGGCACAGCGACGGCGGCGGAGTTGTCTTCGCCGGGTAAAGGAGCTGGGGGAAATCTTGGCGAAGGCTTCACCTAGTGGCGTGGCGTAATGAGGGAGTCCCGTGGAGACATCCAAAGCCACGCTTTCTACATGTTTTTTGTTGGCTTGTGGTCGGTGATTTGTGTTGGAAAACACTGCAAAAAGAATGGATCCTCACCTGACGGCTACTTAGCTTGGGTTTGGGGTTCCCGGCTTATTTTATTCTTTTAGGTGACTGGTGCACCACCTGGATAAAAGTGAGCTTAGACGGTTCTGTATTCTTCGCAGAAGAAAGGGAATTATATAAACCTAATAGCGATGCCTCCACCCTACTAGCGTTTCCTTTTTGATATGGTTCTATGAAAGCCTGTTTCTTTTGTGCATCCAACAAATTCTTTCCGCAGGCTCTGGCATCTCTCAAGGATCTTTCCCGATGTTGCTGATAGGTTATTGCAAATTGGGGTTGCGCGGAAGGTTGTGTTTGGGCCAGCTGGTTCAGTTTTCAGTTTCATGATTTTTGCTGGATTCGATTTTGGAGAAAACGAAATAAACGAAAGTAAAGGCGATTCGATTCGATTTCGTTTCCTTTTCCAAATGCCTTGCTGCGCCTCGGCGCCTTGCTCAAGGTTGGCAACATCTTCTCGAGAACGCGGCCGCTCGGTGAATTTCTCTTGATGTGTTCCCTCGATATTGGGGGGAGGCCATCCATCGCTATTAGACACAAAAAAGGAAAAGGAAGAAAGGCCGTATTAGTTTTTGGAAATGGAAGGACACGTTCGAACAGACTGGCCATATGAAGAGTCTGGTCGAGTGTAGAAGCAACACAAAAAACGGATTCATTTTGCATTTTCATTATGAAAGCACTTTGGAAGCTTTCTGGGAAGAATTGAGTTTTTCCCTTGTGAAACGGAGAGAAGAGCTTAGAAGAGCTTGACTGGTCGAGTTCCGATTCTGATTGGTGAAGGAACCACTTGGGGGAGCATCTGGGCTTTTGAGCGAAGAACTTCAGGCGAGGAAACATCGCAGCTACTAGTAGCTCCTGGCATCGCCACTAGGAGCAAGGGCGCTACTAGGAACAAAGGGCATTTCTACTAGGAACAAGAACTGGGGCTGCCGTGCAACGGTCGTGCAGGCGTTAAGCGCGAAAGTAGAAGATGCTGAAGGCGAAGCAGGCATGGACGGCAACACCAATGTTCTCTTAATGTCTTGGACAAATTTGTACTCGATACTTTTTGCTTCTTTAGCGATGGCCTCTAACCTACTAGCGATGGCCTCCAAGCTACAGCTTCATTTTTGTGGAAAACATATGCACTAACTCAAAGCTACTAGGAACAAAGGGCATCGCTACTAGGGGCTCCTGGCCTTACTATTAGGAGCAATGTTTGCTATTAGAAACAATAAGCTAGTAGAAACAAGTGCATCGCTTCTAGTAACAAGTGCCTTACTACTAGGAGCAATGTTTGCTACTAGGATCCAACGATGTTGGCCTCGGTTTGCAAAGGCGGCCGTGGCCATGCAGTGCTGCATGCATTGCCGACGGTGGTGAGGCGCGGACTCGCGGATTTCGCTTGGCTGCCTTGGCCGCGAAGAATCCGAGAAAAGGTAATCAAAAAGGTGCTTGTAGGTTGGAGGCCATCGCTAAAAGGAAAAGGAAGAATGGTCAAATATTTGATTTGACTCAACCGGGTCAGATTGCTTGCCCAGATTGCAGGCATATGTGTGCCTGTTATCCACCCGTGTTATGAAGCCGTGAGTCTAGAGTGGAAGAGAGTCAAAGGCCAGGAGCGCCCCTAGTAGCGTCCTTGCTCCTAGTAGTAAGGCCAGGAGCCCCTAGTAGCTTCTTGCTCCTAGCCCTTTGCTCCTAGTAGCTTGATCATTGTTTCAAGTCAAGAAAAATCCGGAGGAGCTTGGGACAGCTTTTGAGCGCCATTTCCCCTCAAGGATCGAAGATGAAAGTCGGGTTTTCCTGCGGGAGCGACGAAGCCAACGGCAGCTTGGCACTTTTGGCAGGCGGTTGGCTGCCAAGGGCAATTCCTGCCACATATGCCTTCAGCAAAGGGGTTGCATTTACCCGCTTTTCACCTGAATACAGGAAACTGGCAAAAGAAGACTTGCTTCGCTTCCTTAGTCTCGAGCTTTGTTGTATAGATATGGAGAATGTGGCTAAGTAGCTCTCTTGCAAAGAGCTCAAGGTTGAGAAAGCCTTTCTTGTTCGCAAGGGATTAGGCTTTGGGCACCGTGAGAGGGTAGTGAAGTCTTAGGCATTTCATATCTGAGCAATTAGCATTCCTTTAAAGATGAATCATGACATAAGTGCAGGAGTGATGTCCAAAGAGACTTAAAGGCTTTTCCTTTCTTTTCTGGACCTCTAGACCTTTCCTTTCTATTGATTAAACTTATTCATGCTAAGAACTTCCGCGAGCGTTCTCTTGCTATTTCTGGCTCCAATGTCCAAGCGCAGTTGAGGTATTTGTCAATAGCAGGCCCGCACAGTGTGGTGATGACAGACCCTTGGCAGAAGACATTACGTGCTGGCCGTGTCATTTTCCATGTTACCTACACACACTCCAAACAGTCAACAAAGCTAAAGACAATTGTCGAACTTCCTCTGCTTTTTGTTGCATGTGTTCACAGGTGGAGTGTTTGTTCACCAATAGCCAAGACGCCTACATGCCCAAAAACCAAACAGGAATGTATAATTTGCTACTAGTAGTGTGCTTGCTCCTAGTAGTAAGGCCAGGAGCTACTAGTAGCGTCCTTGCTCCTAGTAGCGATGCCCCTTGTTCCTGGTAGCGATGCATCCAAAGTCTATCCTTAAAAGGTCCGAAATTTGCATCTGGCCCTGAGGAGTTGCCGGTGTCTTTGTTTATATGTCACTTGGACGGCCAAGGCGCGGCAAAGCTGACGTTGATTTAAGTCGATCATTTGGCGTGTGTCGGCACGTGTCCATGTCAATGAATTAGGGCAAGTTTCACATTGAGAACCATTAGTGAGTCGAATTTGTTCTCGCCTCATTCCTTCGTCCCATTCCAACTTTCGACACACATACCCAGGCTATGTTCTCGCATGCCGTCGAGGAACAACACCTTCGACATGTCGACCAGGTGCCTCTGAATTCTGGTCATCCTGCATTGAGGCACCTGGAACACGCTTCAGCTTCAGAGTGATCGATTCGGGGTCAAAACCTGGAACATGCTTCTGACTCGCACTGCAAGAATGCAGCTTAAACAGGCCACCTGGAGCTAGTGGGGCTTAGCAGGGCTTAGCATATTGTGATCGCTTTCGTCCATTTTTTGTTCTTTCTAGATTTCACTTGAATGTTGTGCTGCTGTAGAGGCGGAAGAAGCACGTTTGAAGACGAGGCAAGGGGGCCCCGTTAAAAGACGCGCTCAGTCTTGCGGGAAAAAGACATGAGAAGAGGAGAAGAACTGAAGAGAATGAAATGAAAGAACAAGGAAAACCGCAAGTGGGAACAATGAAAGAATGAAGAAGGAAAGCTCAAAAGAAAGAAGTGACAGACACTTCGAGGCTGAAGGGCCCGATACCTCAAACGAACAAGAGAGATGTCAATGAGGCATTAGGAGAGGAAGAAGAGAGCTACACTACAGCAACTGATTTTTTAAGGGAAAAGGAGAGGATAAGAAGAGAGAGAGAGAGAGAGACAGAGTCTTTTCTTGTTCCGATTGTTTCTTTTCTCTAGACCTTGAGTGAGTATGACACCGCGATGTGACTCCCATACGTTTAACCTTGATTATTAATTAGAAACAATAAGCTACTAGGAACAAGTGCATCGCTTCTAGTAACAAGTGCCTTACTACTAGTAACAAGAAGCTATTAGAAACAAGAATTATGAATGATAGGAGCCATGAGTGGATTTGGAGCGTTGCTGCGTTGTTTTCCGCGGAGGTCGTTGATCGATGGACCTCTCAGCTTTGCTTTGGAACATGAGGTGGGGGTGCCTAGGTTGGAGGCCATCGCTACTAGAAACAAAGCAAAAAGAAAAGGAAGAAAGGTCGTGGAGACTCGTGGCTTCTAGTAGCGTCCTTTGCTTCTAGTAGCGAGGCCAGGAGCCTTGTAGCTTCTTGTTACTAGTAGCGATGCACTGGTTACTAGTAGCTTCTAGCTACTGAACGGTCTTATATAGTTTCCAAAGTGAAAATCCTCCAGCCCCACTTGATCTTCAGCACGGGACGAGTTGGAGCCTGCTGGGTCCAAAGTGTGTGATCAAAGAAAAAAGAAAAGAAAATAAAATGAGCATAAGAAAGGGGGATTGATTTCGACACGCACAATCTCCACACAGGGTTGCGCACGCAGCCGGCAAATCGCGCTCTGGCCTGCATTTCGCGCACTCAACACGCACGATCTCCGCAGAGGGTTGCACCCGGCGAATCGCACTCTTGCCTGCCGACGGGCACGATCTCCGCAGAGGGTTGTTGCGCGGGCACCCGGCAAATCCCACTCCCGCCTGCATTCCGCGAACTCCACATGCACCACCTCCGTCAAGGGTTGTTGCACTTTCGGTCGACCCTGTTCGTCCCACCCTCCGCCTTTAAAAGAGAATTTGCAAAATGGGGAAATGTGTTTTCATTAGAACATCTCCCGTGCTGGTTTCCATGCTCACACTTGCCTACTCATTGCATGCTTGCATACCCATTGCATGCTTGCATGCTCATCACTTGCATGCTTGCACTTACATACTTCCACTTGCATACCTCTTCGGACCAAATGCGCCATGCGCCATGCCCTAAGCATTTGGTAGTTCAAGCTTCGCACAACTTGGTGGGCTTTCATTTGAAGCATTGTAGCACTTTCTCCAGACTTTGCCTTCCTGGTGTGCATAAACTAAGGTCTTAGGTCCTTTTAGGATAAACTCTCAGGTTTGAACCATCTGGATGCACCTGTTACTAATAGCTTCTTGTTACTACTAGTAAGGCACCT